AAAAAAAAAAAAAAAAAAAGATCACTTATGTACATATAGCTTGCAAGCTGTACTGAATGTGCCTGTATGTCTGTGTTAATCAATGCATTAATAAATTGTTATTATTTTGATCTGCTTGCATTTTTTCTGGCACCCTTGCACAAACCTAACGAAACTGATCTGCTTCATTGTTACTAGTTCGCTGTGAATTTTTTCAAATTCTTTTTTTTTTTTTTCTCTCTCTCTCTCCAAGTATAGTCCATACGATTAAACATTAGAATCTTTGGTGAGTTTGGTTTGAATTTTCTTTTAGTAGTATCCTTTTTTCCTTATCCTTTTTTGAGTAAAAAAAAGTAATAGAGTAAAAGAAGTAAACAATTTTTTTAATATTTTGTGATACTTCGTTTTTTATATTTTATTAATTTTATTGATTAATATCGTGATTTAAAATTTTTTAACTATAAATGATATTTAGATATTTATGAAATTAATCAATTAATCTCACGCTTTATCTATTTTTATTTTAATTGTAAAAATTGCTTTAATTTTTTTTTCTTAATATGATTAAAAACGTTGAAAATTTTTTGAAATAAAATTGTAACGTACGTAGTTTAGTTATTTATGAAGTGATTTTTTTTTTTTAATGAAAGAGCATGTTTTATGCAAAACATTATTTTATTTATTTTTATTTATACGCTTTGATAATTTCGAAGAAAAAAGAAACAACTTTATTATGCTTGCAATAGAAACAAACAGGTAAGTTGATTTTGCTTAACGTATCACAATTGTATTCTGTTATTTGTTGTTTCTTTATTAAAATAATCTACTATTGCTTGAAAATTTTGCTTATTCAATTATTTCTGATAGTAGAATTATCGTAATTGAAATTTCAATTTTCTCTTAAAAGACTTTTAATATAAAGTATTAAGGTAATCCAAATATTTCATTAAAGTACATGGATGTATTAAATAAAAGTTATTAGAAATAACTTTGCATCACACTTTGCATCATACATAAAAACTAAGAGAAGTTAGACTTAGTTCCCAGTACATCTTTAAATAAATAAATTGTCAAATTGAATTCCACGAACGATGAAAGTTATTCTGGAAATAATTAACAATTAATTAAATAAAACTGATCATTATAAGTTTCGATTAACAATCAATTTAATCTATCTATTAAAAATTATTTAAAATCAGATAAAATTAAATTCTATTAATTCATTAATTCTATTTAATCGAAATAAAATATAAAATCGAATAAGGATAATTACTTTAATAATAAATTCTTTTAGAGCACGGTGACGACCAGCTTGATGAAGTCGATACCGGCTGTCAAACTGGAGACTTCAACGCCTGCAAACAGCGGCAATCCGATGTCCACGTTCGCGGACAAGGCTCTTCCGATCGCGAAACCGGTCTTGAAATCCAAACTTCCGGTTGGCGTGCCTCCTATCCCGGTGATCATCGACCAGAAGTTGGAGAATCACGAGGAGAAGCAAGACGAGGTGGCCAGAAAGAAGGAGGAACCCAACAAGAAGAACAGCAACGTGGATAGCAAGGAGCAAGAAGGTGAAAATGGCAATCTGGATTCCCCATTTGAAGCTATTCCAGCGAGAAGAGCCGATGAACAGGTTCCAGACAGAAGAGGGAATGGTTGGTTCAACGTTGGCCCTGGTGTACAGGAAATCGGTGATGAATTGAATCACATTCGTTTGGCTGGGTATGTTTTTATATTTTATATATATAAAAAAAAAAAAATGAATTAGTTTTCATTTGAAAAATTTATTTTTTGAATGAACTTTTCAGTATTGATGGTGGTGGTGAACGAGTTGATGTTGGTGATGATCAGTATGAGGGTGTTGAGTATGACAAAGAACCGCAGCAAAAGGACAGTGATTTGAGATTGGTTGAGGGTGAAGATGAAGGTGAAGGTATATATTGTATCATTAATTATGTAAATATTTATTATTTTAAGTCTGTTATATATATATTTATTGTGTTTTTTGCTTGTTTTCTTAGATGAAGATGATCAGATAGACTATCCTCAGAACTTGAAACAGGATAAAAGGGAATGAAGAATTTTTCAAAAAAAGTATAAAGTGATGAATTAGAAAGGTTTGATTAAAAAAAAAAAAAAATGATGAAGTTCAAGAAAAAAGCAATTATGGTACTAATTGACATCTATTATCAATTAATTCTTCATCTTGTCACTACTTAACTTGGCTGCTAATCTTCTCTTGGCAGAAGGAAAAAGATGAAGAAAGATTTTCAATGATAGATGCACCATTTTAATTTTTTTATCTATATTTTTTTTCTCTCTCTTTTTTCTGGAAAATTCCATACGGAAATTTAGCCAAAAGATTTAGATAGTTTATACTCTATACAGATGCTATTTAAGAGTCGCTGCTTGGTCAACGAGTAGATGGTATTTTTTATTCAAAAGCTTGTTGATTGGACCGAGCAGTGTGTCGATAGAAAGAAACAGACTGTATTTTTCTAGAATTAATTCTAAGATAAGAAAGATACGAGTTAAAGTTTCCACATGGCGAAAGAAATCTCTTGCAAAAATTCACTCTTTCATTAGCAGATAGAATAAAAAGAAAAAAAAAAATATTCATTGTATTTCATTGTATGAGAATTAAAAGACAGTATTTGTAATATTTGATAGATAGCAATAATTTGCATAACGATTATTATTACAGTATTTCATAAAGAAAAATTTTTATACATAAGAAACTAATTTCACTTTATAAAAATATAAAGTTTCTTTTTAAATATATAGATTAATCACTTATACAATTAATGTTTCTTAACAATTTAAAATATATTTTATTTACGTATTTAATTCAATAATATTTAATGATTTATTTTACAATTTAGAAATGTCATGTGTTTTAATATTCATATCTAAGAAGTTCTGAAAGAACGAATAATTGAAAAAAAATGTTTCTTCTTTATTTCTTTAAATTAAAATTTAATCAATTATTATTTTATATCTAATTTAATTAATTGTCATTTTGATTGAAATGTTAATGAATCGATTATCGGTTATCAGTGGAATTTGAGCAATATATAAGAAAATCACAACAGTGTATTCTGCCAATGAAAGAGTCGATAACTTTCTTCAACGAACTACCTACGCGGTGTCGCGACTTAAATGCACTTATTACTTAAGCCGTCTCGTTGGACATTTTTAAATAGAAATTAACACCTCAATCAGCCGACAATTCTTGTTGGAATCGTGCAATATGATCGGTACAAGAGTACACGTGATTTATTTATTGCCTATCAGTCGTCGTTTTGGCGCTAACAATCAAGACTTAACAGAATGAAAGGAACTAAACTTTAAGGAATTTATTATGGATTTAGATTAATATTTGTTATGAGCGTAGATATATCTACTTGACACAGAGAAAAGTGATACAATATGTACATAAGAGTTTTTTCATAATAAAAAAATTGAAAAATCTTGGAATCTTAATTTTTTTTTTATGTCTAACACTTATTTAAATCTATAAGGAAATATTAATTATGCTAGTGAATATTTAATGTAAAAGTAATTGTAAAAATTGGCCATTGAATTTAATGATGGAATAATTTGAAATTATTTGAAGTATTGTTGTGCACATACAAACTTGAGAGATTTTTTTGTTACATAAAAATGAATTTTATTGAGTATTTTACAGTATGATTTTATGACCATGTTAATGCGTCTGCAAGAAATGAAATATTACTAAATAATCTGGAATGTCCCAATAACCTCTAACAGTGATACAAGTATCTAAAAGGAAGCATTATCTTTTTCTTCTTTTTTTTGCTCTAACTAAAAGACTTATGAATCAATGATTTATTATTCATTAATACAATTCTCTCTCTATTTTTGTCTTATATTTTATATAAATTATAAATATTCAGTCTCTCATTGAAATATTCCTTTTCTGTCAAAGACTATCATTCTGGTATTTTTGAAATAGAATATTTTTTTTTTTTTTTTAGAATGAATTTAATGCATTAAATTATTCAATGATGTAAACAATTTTCTAAAACCATCTGTATCGATAACATCTCCTTTGTTTATCGTTTCATTCCAAAGTTTCCACTAACTTTTCTGCTGTGAAAGTTATACAATGAGTCAGTCATCAACTCACATGTTATTTAATTAAACATGTTAGCCGAGTAATTAACAAACTTCTTGTCGATGCGTCATCGATATTTTCACAACAAACTAAAAACATTCCCAGCGTTTCATCGAACCTCATGCTTAATTATCATTTGTAATTATCATTTTCTTCTTTGACATTTTTATATTATTATTAATTATTGTCAATTATTAAATAATCATTATTCAATATTCGCCTAATGCAAATGTTGAAATGATTTACAAAAGTATAATAAATATTGCTTTATTAAGTTAATTTAATAACTTAATGAATAAACATTAATTATCATTTTTGAATCAACTTTTTTCACCTAATGCAAATGTATGAAATGCATACATA